CATGAATCAATCACAAGCCTTTGGAAAAGCCCCATCGAAAAGTGCATGAGACTGGTTGGGGGAGGGGACATCTAGATACAAACCATAACGGGAACCAAAATGAGGAAAAGGGATTTATTTTATTATTTTTAAAAAAGTTTCCATTTTGTGTATTTGGTATAGGGTCTCACTTCCCAGTTTGGACTCGTAGTGATCATCCTGTTTTCAGCCTCCCCAGTGCTGGGATTGCAGGTGTGCACCACCACGCCTGGACTCATTTTCTGCTCAACATGCCCCAGGGGCAAGGATGGCAGGGCACGCGGGACCTGGGATTAAACCCGTTCCTGAGCTGAGCTAGATGCTGAGCTATCTTTCTGGCCCAGGAAAAGGGATTTAGAAGGGGAGGAAGGAGGCAAGAGGGAAGAGGACTGAACATAGAATCCAGCTGTGTTACGTACTCGTGACCACTCCCTAGGATGGGTGTGAAGTACACGAACTGCAAACACGCATTGAAAAGAAAAGGCCAGAGAGATGAGATGGCCAGAAAGGTTATACAGCTGCTAGATGCATTTACTGCTGCGTTGGTTGTGGCAGTTTGTGCTTCTTAAGGAATTTGCTTTCATTTAAATCATCAAATTTGGGGCTGCCAAGACAGTTCAGGTGTCTAAAGCACCTGCTTAGGCAAGCTCAGGCAACCGCAGGGACTGTGGTTCAGTCCTCGGCACCACATGCCACTCCAGCCCCGATCCCAGGGCAGGCCGATCCAGTCACAAGAAGAAAGAAAGAAGGAAAGAATCAAGTTTGTAGTTCAGTTGTCTGCTGCATCCCTTAGTGCACTACTGATATTTAAACAGTCTGCAGAGTCCTGTCACTTTATTCCTGCGTCATGGTGATGTGTGTCTTCTCCCTCTTTAAATCTGTCAACTTTCTTTGAAATCTGTCAATTCTATTAATTACCTCAAAAAAACCCACAACTTTTTCCTCTCGTAGATATTCTATACTGGTTTTTAAATTTCACTTACTTCTGCTTTTAAATTTGTTCCCTTTTTTGTCCCTCCTTTAGGTTATTTTGCTCATTTTTTTTTCTATTTTTTTGAGGTAGGAACCTAGATCATTGAATTTGACCTCCACTCTTTGTCAATGTATGTATTTAGTACTCTAAATACACTTCAAGCCAAACTTTCATATATTGTTATTTTCATTCCATTCAACATATTGTTTATTTCTTTTAAGACATCCTTTCCCACCTAAGAGTAAGCTAGAAGTGTTTTAGCAATTTCTCAATTGCTTGAGATTGATTAGTTATCTTTCTACTATTTTTTTTCATAATTTTATTGATAAACAAATAGCAATGAGACAGTTTCAAATCAAATCGCTACGACAGTTTCAATAACTAACATACTGCATACATTCTTCTCAGTAATTGCTGTACAAGATGTGGACATGATATCCTATCTACAAACACCACTAGAACAAATCACTCTATTCATTAAGAGAATGTAACTATATATCTATCCCAACCACCTTGAATACACAGATACAAAATGGACATTCATCTGTATACCCCTTTTTTTTGCTAAGTTCCGTTATTTGAATATTATAGGTGTGTAAACTCAGCAAAATATTCTAAAAGAGTCCTGTAGCCCATAATAGCATTGGGTCTTCTGTTTCACTGGCAATGTCAGAAATGGTTGACCTGAGTCCCTCACAGCTCAACATAACAGCATGGCTTTACTTCCTATATTTCGTCTTCATACTTTTCTGCTGGATAGTTAAGACCAAGGTAAAGCAGGACCTGTGCAACAAGAGTTGTAGCTTTTGGGTCTGTCTTTCTACTAGTGATTACTAGTTTAATCTTATTTCACAGTGTCCAGAACACATTCTTCTTGCATTTGATTCTTGAACATATGTTGAGGTGCCGTTTATGGCCCAAGATATGGTATAAGTTGATAAATATTCCATAGGCACTCCAAAAGAAAAGGCAGCTGTTTGATAGAATGCTCTTTAAGTGTCAATTAGATCCTATTAATTCATGGTATTGAGTTTAATACTCCTGCTGCTTTTGTGTTCAGTTATTTTATTATTTGTTCAGAGAGAAGTGCTGGAGTCTTTACGTGTAACTGTGGCCAGGTCTGGTTTTTCTTTGAATTCTACTGGCTGTTGTATCACTTATTTGTAATTTAATTCTTTGGCGCATACCCAATGGGAATTGTGGCATCTTTTTGTGGCTAAAAATCTTAATTATTACTTAAGGTCTCTCTAAGTAATCTTTGCTTTATTATCTCAATAACGTTAAATGAAATAAGTCAAGCATAAAAACTTAAAAAAACTTTCACTGAAGTTGGGAAGCCAATATTCTTTCAAAAAATTTTAGTATTATCCATTGCTCTTTAGTGTCATCCATTTTTTGAATCTCCTGAGACTCCAGTAAAAGTTTGCATCTCTTGTTAAAGTCCTATCGATTTTTCATTGTGAAATAATATGATGAAAAACTTTACAAAACTAAAATTTTAAGTAATGTATAAATTACCCAACATTTCCAAAAGCTGAAAAATGACATGAAATATGAATAGTTACACAGGCAATAGAAATAACAAATTTATTCTATAAAACCTTCCCACAGTGAAACTCCCAAGTTCAACCTACTTCAGTAATTGCTATGTTTAAGGACCAAATACCACAAGTTATATGCAACCTTTTATTGCTGAATGACATTATATCGTAAGAGTAGAGCAAAAATAAAATAAAAATTAAAAAATAAAAAAGTACAGCATGTTTCATCAGTTTACTATGTGGTTTCTGTTTGGACTGTTTCCTGTTCAGGCTTCTTTTTTATTAATGATAAATGTTTATTGAAAAGTGTGAAGGGTTAATGTAAAAGTAATATGATGAGCTAATGTAAAGCTGAGTGTGAAAAACTACTCTGCTCAACTTTTGTGACCCTGCTTCTTTGTAAGACCACAAGGAGTCTTGGTGTTCCATTGACACATCATCAATAGACCGAGAGGTCCCAGAAAACAACGCTCGCAGAAAAAAAAAAAGTATGCTGAGTAACGGTCACGCTGTCCCTAAAGGTACTGTTCTATGTTAAATAGCAAATTTGTTTGTCAAAAGGATGCAGTTTCTACCTTTAGAGCCTCTATACTTCTAAGGCTCCTGGCCATTTGTCCTTTCCTTCGAGAGTGTGGTCAAGTGGTCCAGGGCCCGGTAATAAAAGGCTTATATTTAAATTTTAATTTAGACTCAGGTCTAGTTTCTATGTTGAGAATCCATAAAAAAAGGAACTACACCTTCACTTTAGGGTAACAAAACCAAAACACATTGGTTATGAGTATTAAAATACAGAAGTGATAAATCTTTCTATGAAATTGACTCTCATAACAAGGCTACTCCTCAATTTGCACACGTCTTGGAGAAAGCATATTTCTACTTCTCTTCAGCATTTTTCTTTAACTTCCACAGCAGCTGAAACCAAGGTGGGGCACAGGAGAGCTGCATGTGATAGGGAGAAATTATGTTCAAAGAAGTATTCCTGCAAAATAAACTTTAAATTGATTATTTATTTTTGATTTGATTTACATTGGAAGCAAGTTCCTCTTCAGACGGAGCACAGCCCCAGGCCCCCTCTCCACCCCCTCACATGACTTTCTCTGGCAACCACCCACCTGCTTATAGCAGCGTGACAATGAGGCCCACGAACTGAGATTCACAACTGTAGTCACAAAATCATAGGCAGGACTTTTAAAAAAAGTGTTGATTTTCAAGCTTGGGATCCATCAAGTTCTTTTCTTTTTCTGCTGTCATCAGTAGTCTGTGCTGAGATTTGAGGCACCAATCTTTGAGTTTTTTCTCTTATTTTTAATGATAGGTAAAAATAATTTGTAAATGAAACCATCTATGATATACAGCATGGTGTTTGATACACACATACGTTGGAGAACGGCTCACAACCTATTTAACATATGTATCATCTCACATAATTATGCATAAATATCAATCATGTCTGTATTGTGATGTTGTCTTCCTTTTTCTATTTCTTGTCCTGAGAATTGTGTGAAGCAGATGGCCCCTCACTCCATGTTTGTTTGAGAAATATAATAATACAATGTGGCACAAGGTGAGCTCAGAGACACAAGAGATGGGAAGCGTTGAACACGCTGGGCCAGGAGAGAAGGGAGGGACGTCCTGGTGTCTGTGTCGGGACTGCTGAGTCAGGGGAGGCTGGAGAAGCACCAGCAGGCCGTTCTGCAGGGTCCCCGCCCCGGAGCAGCCCAGCAGGAAGCCCGGCAGTGTGGAGCCAGGCAGGGACACAGGTCTGCCTTTCAGTATTTTCCCCTTCGTTCAGCTCAGGAGTTGCAGAGAAGAGAAGGCGGTGGTGTTTCCAGACCTCACTGTCCAGGGCCCCGTTCTCTTCTCAAAACCCCTTTGAATAGCTCTGCAGAAAGAAGAGAAGTGCGCTCTCAGGTCTGCAGAACCGACGCTACAAAAGAAAGGCACTTTTTCTTTTTTGGTGGAACCAGGGATTGAACTCAGGCTCTTGCACTTTCCAGGGAAGCACTTATTCCACTGAGCCATCTCCCCGGCCCCTCAGGAAAAGAAAGGAGTACTCTTAAGTGGCATGGATGGAGATTTATCCTCCAAAGACAATGTTCCCAGGACCAGAACTGCCACCCGAGGCTTCTTAATGACACGAACCACACCAGGCGGGACAGAGAGGGGAGCGCAAACTGAGAACATGTGACCCAGGAACCCCACAAATCCAGGGTTTCACGCGTGGCTCCTCTTCATTCCCCCTGTTTTCTTGTTAGCCTTTCTGTTATTTCTATAAGCTGTAAACCTTTAGATTTCATCATAGCAAGATAGGCTTGGTCTCTATATTTGTAGGACATTTGAGATCCGTTGGGGAAGGCAAAGCTTAATACAGAGGCATGGACATGCTAATTACTAATCTCAGAAAAATAAATATCTTTCCCCAGAAAAATCGCTGGAAATTGTCAGCTACCCACAGGCCCCTCACCTTCCTAAGTCCTGAAGTTGACGAGCAGCCCTGCCCCAAGGAAGAGCAGACCCAGCCCAAAGGTTATAACTCCACTCAGCATTTTGTTCTGTGCAGATCCAGACTGTCTTTCTGAAAGAAGAAGCAAGGTTAGTGATGTTTTTCATCTCAAGTGCAACTTCTGTCATCGAGACACTGAGATTCAGAGCTCTGAGACTATGGGAAGATGCCTGGGCTAGAAATGGTAGCATCTGCCATTCTTGGAAAGAGAGATTAGAAATCACAAGGAGTTGGTGTAACACCTAGGCCTTGAACTCATTTAAATACATCAGCCTTGAGATAGCACCTGATTTTGAAGGGCCTGGAAGCCAGTGAGGTCACAGAGCTGGTCTAGGGTGAAGGACGGGGCCTAAGAGTGGACTCCTTTCATATCAGGAAGACCCACACTGACCCTCTTTATAACACTGTACTACTTATTAGAGTAAGGATGGCACTAGGCCGAGGCTAGTGAAACAGGCCGTCTGCCCACCCCTTTGCAGGTAGGCCAGCTCACCACCAGCAGCAGAGACATACGTTCAACCTACAGATAAGGTCTGAAGCAGAGACTCCATAGTGAATGTTATGGAAAGCTCAGCTTCATTATACGAGGGCTGGTCCCAAGGTGCCCAGCGAGAGAGAAGCAGACAGATCTAGGACGGCACAGAGCACAGTTCTGAGACTCAGTGACAGAAGGGTAGTCCTAGGCAGCAGCAGGATCAAATGCGTCCCTGAAATTTGGGTTAGATAGAGGGGCGTGTACATTGTCAGGACCAGAAGTGACTTCATTCAACCCAAAATACACCTGGTTTATTTGAAGATAATACCAGAGAGTTAGGCACCTTTACAGCACCAGAGCCCAGTTGTAAAGTTCCACATACCGTTCCAGTGGTTTTGTCTATGGGTAGTTTGCTGGGAGATAATACAGAAAAAAATCTACTAGGGTTACTCTAGGATAATCGTGGTGGTCATAACCCACTCTGGGTGCAGCTGGCTGCATACATTTCATCTCTTTCATCGCTTTTACAATCTCATGTGACCCCCTTCTTCTGAGATGGCTCCCAATCTGTGAAATATCAGATTAATCATATCGCTTAGTTACTGCAGGCTGGTCAGGCCTATAATCTCCCAAACAAGTGAACAGGGAAGGCTTACATAGATGAGGCAACTGGTACGATCTTAGGGCTCCAGAAGAATCAGAAACCTTTCATAGCTTTTGAGATTCTCTGGGTTCTGGCCAAGAACTTCTCTGGGTGGCCCTGTATTTATTTGGTTTTCAAACAAAGGAAGAAGACACTGAAGAAAACATGGGAATCTAGCAGGACCCCATGACTTGTGCAGAAGGAGAGATGAACATGAAGCTGATAAAATCATGGGGTAGGGATGTCTTGGGTACTTTTCTCCTTGCTAAGACAAAATGCTCTACACCTGATGGTGAAGGAGGAAAGTTTTATTTAGCTCACAGTTTGTAGAAATTTCAGTCCATAATAGGCTGGCTATAAGGCAGGTCATGTGGCCAAGGCACAGCCATTCTTGGCAGCCGAGGCCACCAAAGGCAACAAGAGAGGACACTTTTGACTTGGACTTTCCAACAATGCTGAAACTGTTAGGACCTTGAGGACTCTTGGTACTAAATGCCTTTTGCATGAAGGGACATGCACGAGTCTTTGGGAGGCCAGGGGTGGAATATTATGATTGTGTCTAGGTGTCCACCCAAAGCCTCATGGGATCATAGGGCCTTTTCTAAGGTAACTGAATCCAGAGTATGTAACTGATTCCTAGTGCAGTGCTCAGATTAAAGGTGTGAGTGCTACACCTGCCCTAGAGCAGGCAGCCTGCATACAGTATGAGGGACAGACAGAAAGAGGCTCTCCCTCTCTGGCTTGTTACGTTTTCTGTCTACTGTCTCTATGAACTGCTGCCCCTCTGCCATGTGCCACCTTGCCTTGGAGTCAGATGATTAAAGACTGAATTTTCTACAAATTGTGAGCTAAGTAAACCTCTCCACTTTTAACTTCAGGTGTCAAATATTTTTGTGTCAGCAACAAGAAAAGGAACTAAGACAAGGGAGAAGAGAAACCCGACAAGCAAGGATAAGCCAAGATCCCATTGTGGATGGGTGGGAATTTGTAAGGCCAGGAAAGTGCTCACTCACTCCACTCCACGGTGACAGGGCTGCTCCAGCTCGGGTGCTCCACCTGGCAGGCATAGACCTCTCCGCTCTGAGGAACAGCTTCCAGCATGACCAGGGTCTGGAAGGTCCAGTCTCCGTTCTGGATCAGGCCTGTGGACACCACCCCAGCCTCCTCCTCCTGGCCGTTCCGGAGCCATTTGACTTGGATGTTGCCTGGGTAGAAGCCGCTCACAGAGCAGACCAGGAGGTTGTGGTGGGGCAGGGGCTGGGTCTTCATGGGGTATACGGTCACCTTGGGCTGAACTGGGGGGAAAGGCAGAGAGAACCAGGCAGGGCATAGTAATTGTTCTTTTTTTAAAAAAATTTTATTTATTTGTGTGTGTGTGTGTGTGTGGCCAGCTCAGCCCACCAGGGGGCGGGGCTGGCTGGCATGTGGTGCTGGGGGATTGAACCGCGGTCCCTGTGCTTTGCTAAGCTTGTTCTAAGTAGGTGCTTCAGACCACTGAACCATCTCACCAGCCCCAGTAATTGTTATTATCTGGATGCCTTTCTATCTCCTTCCATCCCCAGGTTCAAGTAGAACAGCACCCCTCACAGATAGCCATGAGACATAATGGTGTCTTGAGCCCTTATACTAGGGATCCATGCTATTTGAGAGACAGGGAGGCAAATTATGTTTAGTTTTGTGTATAGTTTGAAAAAACTGTTTAGTTTTGCAATGAAATGTTTACAAAGGTTTGCAAAATATGTAGTGTATTAGTGTGATTTCTGTACTACTTGAGTTTAAATCCTGTATCTGCCTCTTACTGGTTGATCATGCAAGATGTTTTGGTTTTCTTTTTGCCTCAGCTTTCCCACCTATAAGGGAATAATGATATAGATTTACCTTAGGGTTATATGAAGTTAGTAAAATATTAAATAATGACTGGAACTTAGCCTTCAAATGTATGTTTATTCATTATGCTTGAGAAAAATTATGACTCAAAGTAGCTTGGATGGATGAATGCATGTTTAATACACTATTGCAATGGACTTTCATCCTAAAATGCCTCAAAAGGGACTCCACCCTGGGAAGAAGTTTCAGACAGAAGTGACACTCTAAGGCAGAGAGCCGATTCCCAGGAACATCTGGAGTCCTGAGAAGAGGGAATGGAGTAAGAAAAGTCATTCTTTACAAGCTTCTATGTTTACATATTGTTGATAATTCTTTACAGCATAAGTATATTCATTACTGGAATTGGTGTCACTTTACAACTGCTATTCTTTCTGACAGACACTTGAAGCCTGTCTTGGGTCTCAGACTCTATCTAGTACACGTGCTGAGGGCCTGGAACTAATCTTGACCCAACCAACCTCAGTAAATGCATATTTTAGAAAAGGATACACCTGGGTAAAATTTTCTTTCTTTCTTTCTTTCTTTCTTTCTTTCTTTCTTTCTTTCTTTCTTTCTTTCTCTTTCATTTTATTGAGAAACAAATATCAATGAGACACTTTCCAAGCTGATTAACAAGACATTTTCAATAATTAATACAGTGCACATTGTTATCTTCTCAGCAGTCATCTACAGCACAAGAGGCAGCCAGGACATCCCATCCAAACATTACTGCTACAAATCCTTCCTCTCACTGAACCAAGCAAAAGCAGCCGTACATCTATCCTAACTATTCTGTATATACAAATACAAAATGGTTCTTCCTCTGTATCCCCCCTCTCCAGTTCAGTCCTGTCAGAGGTGGATATTCTATTAGCATCTAAATATTATAGGTGCTTGAATTCAGCAAAACAATCCAACAAAGTCCAGTAGTCCACAATAGTAGGGGGTTGTCTGCAGAAGTTGTTGAGTAGAGTCTTTTACAGCTCAGCATATTAATATGCCTTTACTTTATATACCTCATTTTTATACTTTTCTGCTGGATGGTTAAGACCAAGATAAACCAAGACCTATATAAAAAGAAAGGTAACTTTTGTATCTGATAAGGTCAGTCAAGTCCCCTCAGGATTTATCTTGAAACTGTGTAGAACACCATGCATATCTTTTGTCAGTGTCAGCCATGTGGATGAGTCAGGGCCAATGCTTGACCAATTTGCTCTCTGTGAAAGCCTGAGAGAAAGTTTTCTCTCCTTGTGACTCTCCTTGGGCACACTCTACATCATTGATCACATTCCTCTGTGGCTCCATAATCTCCTTGCTCAGAAAATTTGGGGCACAACTGAGTTACATGATGTTACAGTACAGGTTCTCCTATGTCCCGAGTCTTCACTGACCTTAAAAAGCTAGGGCCAAAATGTTAGCTACAGCCCTCCCTTTTCTCCAATTTTTGATCTGTAAACTTATGTTGTTAACCCTCCAGAAGAGAAGCTTATTATTACTCAGTAACATATGCAGTTCGGTTTACCCTAACTATCTGAATATCGAACATCTTAGGCATAACGTGGAACAGGTATCTTCCATCAAGTATTGATGTGTTAAAATTTAGGTCCTTACAGAATATGAAGAAAAAAATTTAAAAATGGGAATAAACACATATTTTTACACAGAAATTTAGAAATCTAGCCATATACAGCATTGTGGCAGGACAGTCTTGTGACATTTTTTTCTTTTTCTTAAAAGTATTTTCTTAAAAATACCAAAAATAGTATATTTAAAATTGATTGCTTACTACAGAGAATTTTGCAGAAATTAATAAAAGCTTTAATTATCTATGTAGAAAGTAATAGGAACCGAAATATAAGCCACAAACTGAAGGAAATACCAAAGCAAATATCAACAAAGTGTCAAATTTTTACTGGCTAGAGATCTCATAAAGCATTGGGAGAAACACACAAGGACCCCAGGGATAGTGGACAGGAGATCATTCTTAGTATGCTTAAAATCAGGAAATAAGTGTGAAAATATCCAAGAAACTTAGAAATCAAAGAAATAAAAATTAAGCAAAGCACCAGTAAAAATTAAAATTTAAAAAAACTGAAACAAAACAAAATGAACGTACAAAAATACAAGTTTTTAACTCAGTATTTGGCAGTATTGAAAAGATGTAGCAGAAGAGAATGAAAAGTAAATTGCCCTAACCACACAGAAAGGAGTGCATCAATATTTGAGTAGGATCAGCATTATCTAAAAAAATAGTAAGAATATATTAAGTAATGAAATTATAATAAAAAAAACCCAGTCAGTCATTTCAGGCATATTAAGGAAGCAAACAAACCAATAGCAGAAAGTTTTGATCTCAAAGACATGTCAACGAGGTCAGCAGTGACTCAGGAGTGCGTGCGTGTGTGTGTGTGCGCGTGCACTTACACACACACACCACACACACACACACACACACACACACACGGAGGACCTCCCCGCTGGCTACCGGCTCACACAGCACTCACCTCGACGACTTGACAGGAGTATAACCAGCTCATAGTTGTTTCTGCACCGGTCCACCGCGGCCCGGTAGCTGTCCAGGACGTCCTTCTGGCTATTGAAGTCCTCCGCTATGGGCCGCCCCAGCTCGCTCACCGCCTGGAACTCGCCCACGTCACTGTCGAAGCGCACGAGCTCCTCCTGGTTATAGAGGTACCTGGTCACATGGTGCACTCGCTCCATCCCGTTGAGGAAGTGACATTCAGCCTTCATCTGCTCCAAGAAACGCACTGCGGGGACGGGAAGGATGGATGGGTCACGAGTGGAGATGGACCGTGATATCCACGATGGCGACACTCAGACCTGGGAAGAGCTAGGACGCTTCTGATGGGCTCTGTCTGGAGCGCCCTCCCTGCAGCTGTCAGACCCACTCCGTGCTGGATTAGAGGCCAACAGGCCAAAGCTGGTTTTCCCCTTTCTGATTGCCTCCGGGAACCTCCACTGAGAGACCCTCTGTTCCCTTTCTGTACTCAGGACCAGCCCCTTCACTCCCGGTGATCTCTCTATGCCGACCCTGCGCTAGGCCTTTGCTGCCCCTGGGATTCCAAAGACTGAAGCAGACATCTGCCCTTCTCTCCTGGAGATTAAATTAGTGAAAGTGAGGCATGAAAGCCAATATACAAGAAGAATAAAGGTAGAGATATGTCTTATGGGTCAACAAGTCACATGTGCATCTATATTTTAATATATAGGAACGTATGTACTTAGAGTCCATACACATACATATTTATTTTGTTCTTGTATTTAACTGAGCTCAGGAGAATTTTGAAAACAGGTGTAAAATGTGTGGTTAAAAGTGAAACAAATAAGTAAGCATCTGACATGATCAGTAGTAGAGAATAACGGCAGAAGTTTGAAAAATATTTGCAGGAGTCACTGTTATTTATGACTTACGACGGCAAGTTGCTGAAACAAGAACTCACGAAACGCTGAAGAAGATTACATGAAGTAGAAAAGCCCAAGAGGAAGATCTTGAACTTGCCTCAGCTGAATGAAATCAATAAGAAAATGGAGAATTCGTGAAGCTGTCGTGACTGGTTTGTTTTATAATGAGATAAGCTAAAATAAACCACAAGGAACTGAACTGGAGGAAGAGTGTTTATGAAACATGAGTTTAGGATTTTCGAAGCAGCACAGTGTAGACCAAGGTGCTCAACCTCTGTGACAATCTGTGACCCTCTGGGAGTGCTCTGACACTCTGAGGCAGACAGCTTGCCTCGGGTCTGTTTGTGGGAGCCCGCAGTGAGGTGTGAAAAGCAAAAGCATCCCTGGGTAAGAACCACTGGCGTAAACCACCCAGAATATCGGTGGTCAAAAAAACCCCACTGATAATTATGAAGTGGCTGAGAATTGCATAGAAAAATTTTATAAATATACCATCTGATAAAGGCCTTATTCTGAACACCTTTATTACGCTGAAGAAAAGCCCACACTAGGGCCAGATTTCTAAAATGTTCACCATCTCTAATAAGGGACAGAGCTGCTTATAAGGCTATTACAGATTCTTCCTTTTTTTTAAATTCCCATTTATTTTTGGCTCTTGGGGCAATGTCTCTTTTCAATATGAAAAAAAGCAGTTAAGTTCAACACAAAATAGAAATCCAAGTGTAGGACAGGACAAAGTCAAGGGTGAGGCGATAGCAAGAGATGACGTACTGCAAAGAGGGCATCTCCTGTCCTGGGCAGTGACCAGAACACAGAGGCGGGCGGGCATGCGCCTGGGACAGTGGCAGCCACCCTGTGGAGGGAGGCTCGCTCTGGGCCGTGTGAAGCTAATACTGTTTACTGTCCCACGAAGCCGAGTGTAGAAACGCCTGGAGATGAGCGGGAAAGCCTGGATCCCCCTTTCCCAACAGCCCCCACCTGGGAAGCCCCACCCTCTCCCCCAAACTGCCCATCACCCTCTGCCTCTCTTCCCCTCGGCTCCCCATGGTGGCCCTTCCGTGGGTTTGCAACACCTGGCCGGTTCTAAAGGGGATCTAGAAGAGGCCCAACTTCTGAAAACAGAAACATGAACTAGACAGATGTGAAAGCCAGCAGAAATTGCAGGGTCACCTAGAATGACAGATCTAGGTTTGCCAGAGTAGAGAAAGAAGAGACATTCAACAAACAAGTATTTATTGAGCGCCTACTGTGTGCCAGGCACTGTTCTACACTCCTGAAAGAAACAAGATAGAGGCAGCAAACAAATTGTGAAAGGGGCAGCTGAAGGTGGCTGAGGAAGTGAGGAGCCCGAGGTGACAGGGACTCTGGCTTAAGCCTCCTCTTTGGCCTCCTCCCCGAAATCCTCTTCCTCTTCTGCAGTGGCGTCCTGGTACTGCTGGTACTCGGACACCAGGTCATTCATGTTGCTCTCAGCCTCGGTGAACTCCATCTCGTCCATGCCCTCGCCCGTGTACCAGTGCAGGAAGGCCTTGCGCCGGAACATGGCCGTGAACTGCTCTGAGATGCGCTTGAACAGCTCTTGGATGGCTGTGCTGTTGCCAATGAAGGTGACAGCCATCTTGAGGCCACATGGTGGGATGTCACACACAGCCATCTTCACGTTGTTGGGGATCCACTCCACGAAGTAGCTGCTGTTCTTGTTCTGCACGTTGAGCATCTGCTCATCCATCTCCTTCATGGACATGCGGCCTTGGAAGACAGCAGCCACTGTGAGGTAGCGGCCGTGGCGCGGGTCGCAGGCTGCCATCATGTTCTTGGCATCAAAGACCTGCTGGGTGAGCTCAGGCACGGTCAGGGCACGGTACTGCTGGCTGCCACGGCTGGTAAGAGGGGCAAACCCTGGCATGAAGAAGTGCAGGCGTGGAAAGGGCACCATGTTCACGGCCAGCTTGCGCAAGTCGGCATTGAGCTGGCCAGGAAAGCGGAGGCAGGTAGTGACGCCGCTCATGGTGGCTGAGACCAGGTGGTTGAGGTCCCCATAGGTGGGTGTGGTCAGCTTGAGGGTGCGGAAGCAGATGTCATACAGGGCCTCGTTGTCATGCAGTATGTCTCATCTGTGTTCTCCACCAGCTGATGGACAGAGAGGGTGGCGTTGTAGGGCTCAACCACGGTGTCAGATACCTTGGGCGAGGGCACCACGCTGAAGGTGTTCATGATGCAGTCGGGGTACTCCTCTCGGATCTTGCTGATGAGCAGGGTGCCCATGCCGGAGCCTGTGCCGCCGCCCAGTGAGTGGGTCAGCTGGAAGCCCTGCAGGCAGTCACAGCTCTCGGCCTCCTTCCGCACCACATCCAGGACAGAGTCCACCAGCTCGGCCCCCTCTGTGTAGTGGCCCTTGGCCCAGTTGTTGCCTGCCCCTGACTGACCAAAAACAAAATTATCTGGTCTGGAGATCCGGGCCAGAAGGATCAGATTAAACAGAGTCCATGGTCCCAGGTTCTAGATCCACCAAAAGAGCGCGAGGAACGTATTTGCCACCCATGGCTTCATTGTAGTGCACGGAAATGTGGTCCAGCTGCAGGTCACTGTCCGCGGGGTTGGTCGCTGTTGGGGTCGATGCCGTGCTCATCGCTGATCACCTCCCACAACTTGGCACCGATCTGGTTGTCACATTGACCGGCCTGGATGTGCATGATTTCCTTCACAGTCAAAATTAACTTGTTTTGCTCGCCTCCAGGAATGTGTGGCGCAAGAAAATATGTAGGCTTTTTTCCTTTGCTGGTTGCAGGTTGGAAGGACGGAACGTGCCCTGCAGGCGGGAGCAGCGAGGGGCAAGCGTGCCGGTGGGAAGAGTCTCCTATTACAGATTCTAAACCAAGTTTTACTCTTCTCGCGTGTGATAATGCTTGCTACAAGCAAAGAGGCAGTAACTGGAAAAAGTTAAAATCCGGCATGTCTGAAATGTGTATTTTACTTGAAAATTATTTTTTGAGAAGAAAACACGAGAAATCAGCAACATATGTTTTAAAGCTTCAACAGCCACTTGTGTCTTAGTTTTAAATTTATTATGAGCAAGCTGGATGCGGAGAAAAGCCTAGAATTTTATTGTCCCTGTACAAATGTTCCCCATGCCACGTTCCTGAGCTGCTGGTAAGAGGTGAAGTTTTGGCTTTTGATATCATCCTATGATAATCTGGGTTGCAATTTTAAAATTTTTATTTTATTTTAAAGAGTAAAAACAAAAGCAAAAACAAGTAGCAGAAAATGGGTAGGGTAACATACAACAATACATATATTACAGATTTTCAAAACAATAATATCTACTTAGCAGTGGTTGTTATATTATCTATTTTATCTTCAAATCTGTTGCTGAGATTAACAGATATAGTTACGCAAGATTGGACAAATAATCGCATGTTGACAATTTGTCATAGCCAAATCTTGGAAACAACCAAAATGCCCATCACTTGAGAAGTGGATGAAAAAGATGTGGTATTTTTATACAATGGAGCATTACACAGATATAAAGAAAGACAAACTGGAGACCTTGATAGCTAAATGGATGCAACTAGAGGCTGTACTCATAAGTGAGATAAGTTAGACGCATATGTGTAACATTGTATTGTCTCCCTAATATAAGAACCCGAAAGAGTAGATAAAACCTGGAAGGTATAATAGGTATAGTAAAATGTAACGAGATTGAATTTAAGAATTAAACAATGAAAATGAAAGGAAAAAAAGATAGGAAAAAAGGAATGGGTTGAAATTTTATGGTCAAAGACTCTTGTCCTATAAAGAGCAAGTATGAATGATTTTTAAACTGTATGCTTACTGCAGGTTAAAAGGTCTAAGCATCCCCAGCTTTCTGAAAAAATATTGATTATTGAAGGTAATAATTAATAAATCAACTTTATCAAGTATTTGGACAGACCTGGGACCATGTCCATGTTTGTAAATGGACTAGAAGAGGAAGTGTACTTTGAGTATCATCTTATTGATGAAAAAGGAATCATATAAATTTCAATATATGGTACAAGATTATCAGAAAAAATCTGAACAAATTAAGGGGAAATGACATAAAGGTACAGAACATCCACGTCCTCCAATTCCAGGAGCATGGGTACCAGGTGTGTAATTCCAAATGTCACTTGCACATGCCCTGGGGCACATCTCCTCCAGAGGTTATGCACTTGGAACCATAGTATCTGGTATCAGAAGCCCTGCTACCACTGTGCTAGTCCCTTGGGACCTAGAGAAGCTGTTATATGGGCCTCGCAGGTCCTTCAAAGTGGCAGATGAGACATGTTCCAGCACCAATCTCACTCACTCCATGGGAGCTAAGGAAGAGCGTTCCCTCTGGTTTCACAACTATTTCACGCCTACCCAGCATCCTCTGCTGCTTCCCACTGGTTCCTTTTCAATCTCCCAGCAGTCATCAGATTACCAGGCTCAGCCAGGACTCTTAGGCTCATAGTCGAGTCCTCACAGCAGGGAGGCAAAGGGAACATGATGTCTTCTCATAGACAGTTCACTGGAAATTAGCAGGTCTCTAGACTTAGCCGTGGAGAGAAGAAGGCAGGAGGAGGGAACTCTGGATCAGACAAGGTCTTTCTTCCTGCTTATAAATTCTCTACCACCTTGATAGTTGAAAAAGTTAATAGATAAAACAGGAGTTTCTGCCCCAAATCGCCTTCCGCATTGCTCCCGTGTTAGCACTGTTAGTCTTTACGTGATTGCTGTCTTCAGTGAGGCTGCCAGAGGTGGTGGAAGGCCTTCTTCATTTAGTATTTTTTTTTTAAATGTCTAAACGGGATTAAGAATCTATTATTACAGCCCTCAGCATAAAAAATTACAAACTAAAGGAGGGGCTTGCCATTATTACTTACTAAAAAATGTAGCAACTGAGATAAGAAATCACAAGCCATGGATCCTCTTGCAAACGCTGCCGTCGCAGTTTCTCCTTGCCCTTCGCCTCCTCCTTTCCTCTGTCTTCCACAACTCCCTCTTTCCAGCTTCCCACTCTCAGATCTCCCTTTCCTCCTGCCCAGCTTTCCCTGGTTCTGTCCCTGGGTTCCATCCCTAACAGCTCCCTTTAACGTCTAAAAGACAGGACTCGGAAGCAGACTCATCACTTATACCCAAATCAGAATGCTTGCCCAGTATCAAAGATTTCCCCAACCCTAAAGCCAAGTCATTCTTTGCAAACAACCATTTAGCCGGTTATTAGTGCCTACCTTTTGAAAGCTTTCTAATTTAACCACACACTTGTGGGGAATGTGTTGGCCCAGGCACAGATGTTAACTGCTGAATTGGAAACACCATTGGGGGTTTTAAACCAGCTTCCAGATTAGGATTTGGTAAATCAGAGAAGAACAGCTAACAGGACTACTCCTCTGATTTTTCTCCATCAGAGAAGAAATGGAAATCTGTCCAACATTGTACTCCTGAAAAGGATGAGTCAGCGCTCAGGTACTTTCATAGATTTGAAGAAACCTTTCAAGAAAACGACTTTAACATGATCTTTGCGGCTGGACTTTCTCGCTCTCTGAACCGCCCCTGCCCCTGTTTTTCAGTACCAGGGACTGACCTGGGGACCTAGTGCAGGTGCTTATACCACTGAGCTCTATCCCGGCCCCCAAGCCCTGTTTGAGCAACATGGTCTCCACTGGGCAACAAGGCCCTGTGGAACAGCTTCCCCAGCTAACCAGCTGTCAAGCACCACTGAAGAAGAGAAAGCTCCGAGAGCTGCCAGAGCTTTACCTTTCCAAACAGCCCTCCAAAGACAAGCAAAGCAGGTCGCCCAGCCCCACCCAGCTCAGGCCGGAAGGCTGCCTTCTATGTGCAGGCTGGCCACTTCAGAGTGGACTACCTTCACTGCAAACGCAAGCTACCATCAAGCCCTGACAAAATTACCCCTCCTTTCCATCCCAGTGGACCTGAATTGGTCTGAGGGCGTTTGTCCTATGAAAAGCCAGTTAGGAGAATTGTTGGGACAGACTCGCGGGTGGGCGCCAGCCACAAACAAAGACACGCGGACCCTTAATACAAGCAAAACGAGGGCTTGAGCAAAAGGCTGCCGCCCCGCCTTTGGACTTTATTTTCATGTATCTTTAGTCTCAGCCTTTGGGTTACTTTAGGCGAGTGTAACAAGATCCCATCATATGTGTCCAAGATTAATGTTTAGGCTATACTATGCAGGAGAACCTGCTAGGCACCTGGGAGCAAGGACACGAAAACAGGCTGTCCTTGAGTTCCAAGGGGTCTTGGTTACTCCTGCAGCTGTTGCTGCCCCGTTTTCTTTTTCCTCCTCCCACATGCCCTGCAGGTTATTTAGCACTCCTCTATACCAGCTCTTTCTTATCCCAACAGAGAATTAAAATGGGATGGATTATTCATATCTCTGCTCAACTTTGAAGCTACAATGCCTGTTCTTCATCCTGACAGAATTGCAATGTCTTTCTCTCCAGGTTTCTGGTTTTATCAAGATGTTTGTGGTGCTAGCCAGCCAAGCGCACTTCTCAAATCCCTGCCCATTTCTTTCCAGTTAGGCTTTCTTTTGAGAAGTTACTGCTTTCTACTCCCCTAGTACCTATGCATTTTGGAGGAGACTTTTCTGGAAGCATATCATATCTCTTTGTCCCCAAGGGTGGGAATGACACTAGAATTAACCTCACTAGAAGGCTACGGTCTTACAGAGCTAGCTCCTACCCAGCTGCTCCTTACTCTGTGTCCTCATTAGCCCTAACCACTCTGCGCCACCTGGAATCGCCCAAAGCTTCTGGGAACATCCCAGTACTGATGTGATCCTATCTTTCAAAACCTCCAATTAAAATCTAGGTGGATCATAGCAAGCTTCTCCCTAGAAACACTCACTAATCCCAAGGCTTTGGCTGGTATATAACCCATAATGTATGACTCATACATAAGAAAATGATTGTTTTCTTCCTATACCTAGTCTTATAGGACTCCCACAGTGCCTGTCCACAAACTGCGAAGAAATGATAGGAGACTCATATAGGATCGTAGAACTATTAACATCATGGTTACTTCCCCCAGAACCAGGAGTCCCTCACTCTCACACCCTGCTCCCCGGTGCTCCCCCCCAGAGTCACTATATTTTGGCTGTCAACATCTGCACTTTCTGCAATATACTGGTGCACCCTGACGGTGATCACCTCTTTACCTTCACTTGGAAGTGACAATAACAAGGACCTGGATAAATTTTTAGTGCTGGTTCAGCTAATGTCTCCTTCTAGCCTAATTCAACCTTTACTCAACATGTAAGTGAGCTGTTTTTATATTCTTCACCCCAAGAACCTTGCCTGCCTGAGCATTCATTGCGAATGTTATCTGTGGTTGAAGATTTCAAAAAATAATTATGTCAGAATTCTGTCAAATATTTAGGATATCTCTTGACGTTGGAGGACCTGAACTGCAGCCCTTCCTGCCTTCCGGGCACTTCAGCTTTTCCACTTCCCCACACTGACAGCCAACTTTAAGGATGCTCGGATAGGCAGGCCATGCAGGTCCCCGCGGTGAAGGCGGGTCACCCTCTTGTGATGTGGAGTAACTGTAAAGAAGCGGGGCCTCCTGGAAAGCAGTGTGCTCTGTAAAGCAGTGTTGGGGCCCCAGTGCTGCCTCTGCCACCATGCTTTCCAGCTGCTGTAGGTGAACAGCCTCTGCCGTGTGCTCCGACCAC